CAGCAACATGAGGTCGTTGTGGCCTTGACCTTTGACCTCCAGGCACCAAATCAGTTCCTCTTTGAGTTGTAGTGAAGGTTCATACCAAAGAAGAAGACATTCCCTCGAGTTGAACTTAAGATATCATGTTAATTCTTGATATATCACGCTCACGGGAATGGGACGTACGTACGGACAGACGACCCGATGACTTTAAGTCATGAGCAGGTAAATCTCCAGCATTACATTTGATTTTTATTTTATTATTATTATTATAATTAGCATGAGCGACAGAACATTCATTTATTGCTAATTGGATAAACAATGATGTTGCTGAGACGTTGTATATTTTTCTTATCATTCAAATTTCTATTGTACAATTTAAAATCAGTAGCCGGAGAGAAATGATATAACATAGTTTTATTATCTGCACAGGAAGCTGCGATGTGGAAAAACCCACTGAGACAAAAGTCTTGAATGAAAAGTTTGATTTTGTTGCAACAAGTAAAAGAAAAAAACACACCGAATAAATCAGGTAAGAAATGGATGAAATATAAAAACAGCGGCGGCTCTCTGAGACCCCACTCACCCCTTAAACAGAGGCACAAATTGGTTTAGTCTGCCCGACTGCCCCTGCTCTAATCTGAACCCAGCAGCTGATGGAGCCCAGTGATGCTGGGAGTCAGCTCTTACCCCCAGAGACGGTGAAATCTAAATAACAGAAATGAAAAAGAAAGAAAGAAAGAAAAGCAAACTGTGGTAAAAAAAATCTTTCAAAAGGAAAGTGAGCGCAGCGAACACGGTTGAAGAACAGTTCAAGTCAACAGACTGAAGGACGTCAGCCGAACGAGGAAGCTTCAGAGACGAGGTGGAGCGTGAACGTTTTACTCTGAAAACTTTGAGATTCATGATTCCATAGTTTAACATCCTAACAAAATAATTTCATTTTAAATTACAAGTAACTTTCCTATTTTTTCTTCTTCATGCCTTATTCTAACATCTTATCCTGTCTTATTCTAACGTCTTATTCTAACATCTTATTCTAACGTCTTATTCTAACGTCTTATTCTAACATCTTATTCTA